AAATTAAAAAAAAAAAAAAAAAAAAGGAAAATCGGGCTAACCCGGCCCAGCCCGCCACTAACCCGGGCGGGTTAGGGCTGGCGGCCGGCTGGGCCAGCCATTTTGAAGAAAATGGCGGGCCTAACCCGGCCTGCCTTTGCTGCGGGTGGGTTAGGCCCGGCCCGCCAAACAAAGTACCCGTCGCAGGCCGGGGGTTACTTTTCCACCTCTATTCCTACCATTGAAAACAGCCCAGATCCGTGAAAACCGAGATGGTGCGCAGTCACTGAGAGTGTAATTGAAGTATTTTCAAAATAAGATAGTAATTTTATAATTTCAGTAATTTAGGGGTTAGGGTTAAGTATTATGGTAATTACACCCTCACAACCCTAAAAATTGTTAATAGTGTTTTTTTAAGGGTGACAATACGGAATAAATAGAACTTGGATACCAACTTAAGATTTCTCAAACCTTAGTGAGAATATGTCGTTTACTCTAAAAATTTATTGGGAAAATGAGTTGGTCCACGTATCTCATAGAGCTGGCTTTGCTCAAAACCGTTCCCCTATTTTGGGCATTTTAACAGGTAAAATCTTTCTAACCACACAAATATACCAAGAGTTTTATTACTCTTATAAATATTATATAAGAAGTTTTCTTAAAACATGCACTAATAAAAATTTGATTATGGCGATACCACACTTTGTTTAAAAAAAAAAATTCATTTTAAATATATTAGTTCTTAAGAAATTTTATATTTATAAATAAATTAGGGTTCAAATTTTTTAAAATCTTAAAATATCAATACAAGTAGATGAAGAATATAGGTCCAAAATAAACAGAAAAAAGACAAAAACATTAGCCATCTATTTTTCTTCGGATTCATTAAAATCGAGTAATTGACGTTTTCCCACCCAAATATGTTTTAGTGACACTTTCTCATCTACATATTTTTAAAATACTTTTTTATTATCCAAACGTTATATATGTTGACAATTTTCGTTAAATACAGTGATTTTAATTGTGAAGCGAAATTATCCTCTAACCAAGCTCACCCCACCATTTTCATCACCAAATATGCTAACTGTGTCGCCCCTTGCAAATGCGCCTGCTTCTGTAAACATTTAATTGATCATTCTATTTTTACTTATTGTACTCAGAAAATAAAAGTGAAAAAACCTTTGAAAGGCAAAAAAAGGGAGAAAAATGCAGAAGTAAGATGAAGAAATAGAAACGACTTTCAAACGAGAGAAACTACAGGAACAAGAGGTCTATGGAAAAAGACCCTCCCTTCCCTGGTTTTGGAAGAAAAAGAGGATTCGAACAGAATTGAGAAAACAAAAGAGAACCGAGTGAATGGATCTTGATCATCTTATCTTTCTTCATAGTGAAATTTATTACAAAATTATTTTAGAACCATAAAATGATATTTTAAAATTAATAATGAAAAATTGCCGTTAAACCATATAAAAAAAAAAAAAGTCGTTTAATCAATGTGAGTATCACTATCAACTACATGGGTCCAAAAAAAAACAAAAATAATTGATAGAAACAATAGCTTTACAGCACAGAAAAGATGACAATAATAAGAATTGATTAGGCCCACATTAACATTAACATTAAATTTGACAAGGAAAGTGACAATCCTTCGTGCACATTAAAAGTGATATACGTTTCAGATTTTCCCAAAAATATGATGAGAAATCCAGGGGTTGATTACTGATTAGAACGGAGGTGTTACGGCATGGTACGGATTGGTACCTAATTTGAAGCAGAAACAAGACAAATCTCATTTGATTTCTTTTAATTAGCCAATGGGACACATGCAACACATTATTATTATACACTGCCTCCTTGTTTCTATTTTGTTGAAGCTATTTGATCATCAACAGGAATAAATGACATTATTAAACCTCTAATATTATAATAATAAATATTTTTTAGTTTACCTAAACTTTTCCAAGTATAAATTATTATTTTTATATATTAGCTATACCAAGAAAAAAAGGGAAAGATAAAGAGATAGGTTAGGTGTGGAGAGTAGGTTTTACTTTTTCCTATTAAGGTAAAAGTTGGAAAGTCTTTTTCAACAGTAGTTTAGACTTTAGAATGGCAAAGCACATAAACGTGTCTATTATTTCTTTTAGATTTTTATTTGATATTTCACATCCTGATGCTTTCCTTCTTCTTTGTTGAAATACATTATTCATTGGATTTTCCCCCTCTCCAAACGGAATATCAGAGAGAAAGCGACTTAAATTTTTAAAAATTCAACATTAATTTAATTTACATTCAAATGTTAAAAGCACAATCAGTCAAAACCCCACCTGATAATTTGGCCGTCGCCTGCTTTAATAACAATTCACATAAATTGGATTGAAGGGCGAACATTTATATTAATTATAGAGAGGTTTTGTTTTTGGTGTGTTGCGAACTAGAAAACACTATAGGTGTCAAACACGACCTGAACAAGTTTGAAAATCTCGATCACTGAGAGAATTTTTTATCTGACTGATAATTAGGATTAGGGATTAATTGAGGTACGCGTAGCTGTCTAAACACATTTGGTCATCAAAAAAATAATAGAGATACCACTGAAGTTCTACTGATCGATATTTCTAAGATTCGAAAGATTAGTTAATAGAATAATCATTAAAACTCTTATCTGACCATAATTCTAGGATACCAAAATTTGATCCAGATGTGTATACTCTGAGTCGGATACTCCGTCATCAAAAAGAAAAAAAAAAAAAAAAAACAAAATATCACTGACTCATAGAACTTGTTGGACATCACATGTTGAATTTCAACTCATTCAAAGCTACTTTTTTTGCTTTTTTTGTTTTATTATTTAAAAGACAAGAACAAAGTCTTTCTTACCATATTTTTATCTTCTCTGGATTAGTTCATCTACGTAAAAGCAGGTGAGAATTTGGTTGCATCACCACCCTACACAATGAATTTCCATTCATACTTTGATTGTAATTCTTTGTGAAAGTACTAATAAAAACATATTTGTGATATTTAAGACAGGAAGTAAACGTTTCTTGTTTAACCAAAAAAACAAATAAATAAATGAAACGTTTATATAATTCAGTTACAGCCTTCAAAAAAAGAATTTAGTGCCCAAAAATTATTAGTGGGTGCATGTGATTTATTATTATTGGCTTGTTTGGTGTTCTCATCTTCAATTTTCAAGAAAAATGTATATTATGTCAAATTTCATTACTACATGAAAAAATAAGTATATCAAAATGACCCAAGGAACAATCCTTCACGGAGTGATACAAGACAATTTGACAATCATCCACAAGTACTAGTTTTATACACAGGACTACCCTTAGGTTTAACTTTAGGAACGTAGTTTTTGATATTTAGTCAGAAGAAAAAGATTGTGGACTGTTACTACTGTCTCATACAGTCATAGTGCCACTCCCTTACGTTGTGCTCTTCTGGTTGGCTCTCACGAATTTGTGTTGGCTGGTCGTTCTCATTTTGTTTCAGAGCCTAATCTATTCTCAAATAAAAACTTCGTAACTGGGTAAAGCTTGAATTCTTCTCATTTTTTAAGTTTTGATTGGTGTTTGATGGCTCTTTATGGTGGTTTGGTTAATGTGTGTTGATCTTTGGGGGTTTGTAGTGAGAAGTTGAATTTTGAGCTTGTGTGGGAGGAAGATGGGGGAAAAGGGGTGAAGTTTTGGACGCAGGTTTGAAGGAAACTGTGGATTTGTAATAGATCTGAATATACTTTGAAGCTCTTTCTTTTTATTTTTTTGTTATGTGATTATGTTTTGTTTTCTGTTGGTATTTTTGTGTTAAAGTGTTGAGCTTTTTGTTGTAGTGCAGAAACATAGCCTTGAGGAAGTTTTTGAGAATCTGAGATGTAGCAGAGAAGGTTCAGCAGCGAGGCTGCTGAGGAGAGACTGACCATTTTTGGTCACACGGCTTGAAGAGAAAAAGGTATTTTTTTCTTCATGTTGCTGTTACAAACCATTATCTTTTCCTCATTATGTTTATGTCTCGTTTGGTGTTTATTAGGACAGCAATTCTGAAGTTCTTGGGGTTCATGTGGATCCTCTCTCGTGGGGTTATGGAGCGCTGCTATTATGGCTATTGCTCTTGCAAATGGAGGATTAAGTGATTGTTTAATGTTTGCTGGCCTTTTTTTTTGTGTGTGTGTGTGTTTCTCCTGAATAGTTGTGTCTTCTTCGACTTTCAGTGAATTGTATCCTTTTATTTTACTTTTGCAGGGAAACCCCCCAGATTGGCAGACTTCGTTGGTACATCACCTCTCTTATAATTACCTCGACCATCAGTTTTATAGAGAAAACAACGCTGGTAATGCTGCAGCTGCTGCTCGATGGCTCGTCTTGCTCCAAAAGCGAAGGTACCAGGTTCCAGCAACGATGAACACGTCAATGATCTTATGCTTAAGTGTTTAAATCTTGATAAGTGGCCCTGTGTATAAATGAATATTGGAGATACAGTTTGGCTCACTATTTTTGTATGATTCTTGAATGTATTTGTTAAAAAAGGTTCTTCGAGATGGAAGGTGGAATGAGCAAGATGCTGCCGTTTTAGTTCCTGGTGACATAATTAGTATCAAACTAGGAGATATTTTCCAGCTGTGATGCTCGTCTTCTTGGGGCGTCCTTTAAAATTGATCAGGTAGGTTGTCGGTAATATATTGTTTTACAGGACTATATTATGCTGAATTGGTCTATTTTTTGTTTTAATCTTTATTTTTTATTTTTTTTTGGACTGGCTTCCTGCGCTTACTGGCGAGTCTCTTCCTGTAACGAAAGGCCCGGGGATGGTATATACTCGGTTCTACTTGCAAGCAGGGAGAGATTGAAGCAGTGGTCATCGCCACTGGTGTCCCTACCTTCTTTGGGAAGGCTGCTCACCTTGTTGATAGCACTAACCAAGTTGGCCACTTCCCGAAGGCAGAGAGATGAATATAAAGTATCTTTATTACTAACTTACTTTGCATTTCTTTTTAATGATTCTGATTCTGTGTGTCACATCTCATGATACGTAGGTCTTGACTGCAATAGGGAATTTCTGCATTTGCTCAATTGCTGTGGGAATGATAATAGAGATTATTGTTATGTACCCAATCCAAGACCGGCAATATCGTCCTGGAATTGACAATCTTCTTGTGCTTCTTATTGGTGGAATTCCAATTGCTATGCCAACAGTTCTGTCTGTCACAATGGCTATTGGTTCTCATAGGTTATCTCAGCAGGTTAGCTAGGTTCCTAGAGATGTTTTAATTGATTGTGTTTCATGTGGCTTTTGATTTAGATGGAATGTGTTAATGATATTTGCAGGGAGCTATCACAAAGAGAATGACTGCAATTGAAGAGATGGCAGGCATGGATGTGCTTTGCAGTGACAAGACTGGAACATTGACGCTGAATAAACTAACTGTTGACAAGAATCTTATTGAGGTTGGTGGCAGTTGTGTTGTTGGGCATTTTCTTTTCATGCTTGGGGATTATAATTTCTCATTGCATGTCTGAATTTCCATTTTCAGGTTTTTGCTAAAGGAGTAGATGCAGATACAGTTGTTCTAATGGCAGCGCGGGCCTCTAGGACTGAGAACCAAGATGCAATAGATACTGCTATAGTTGGGATGCTGGCTGATCCAAAAGAGGTAACGGGTTGGCATCCTGACCTTGTATCTTCTTATTGAAAGCAACTTAGTTATTCAAATGTCAACTGAAGATGGTATTCTGTTTCTTTTTTTGCTACAAAAGGCTCGTGCTGGCATTCAGGAGATACACTTCCTTCCTTTTAACCCAACTGATAAGCGCACAGCTTTAACTTACCTTGACCGTGAAGGTAGAATGCATAGAGTTAGCAAAGGGGCACCAGAGCAGGTAACTTGTCCTCACATCTTATCTGTATGGTTGTCCCTGTTTTTTTTTTTTTTTCCCCAAAATTTTCTTCCTAATTCCTGGCCGTGATTTTATTTTCAAGATTCTACATCTTGCTCACAACAAGTCAGACATTGAGCGAAGAGTTCACGCTGTTATTGATAAGTTTGCAGAGCGAGGCCTGCGATCTCTTGCCGTGGCCTACCAGGTGATTGGAATTTTTCTTTCATTTATAATCCTGTTTAACATTTTATGTTTTGTTTACTCTATTTTATTTTCATGTTACTGTTTTTAATTTTTAATTTCCTTCATGGATGTAGGAAGTTCCGGATGGAAGAAAAGAAAGTCCTGGAGGCCCATGGCAATTTATTGGTCTGATGCCTCTCTTTGATCCACCTAGGCATGATAGTGCAGAGACCATAAGGAGGGCTTTGAATCTTGGAGTAAATGTTAAAATGATTACAGGTGGTTTCTATTTTGCAGTTTAAGTTATTTTTTTACTTGGGGAATGATATTGTTGAATGACTACTATGTTACTGCCTGGTGAAAGCATAATTAAGTAATAAGATATTGCATGTTTTGGAAATTTTACTGAAATTTAAGCTCTATACATATCATTTACCTTGTTTTAAAAATGAATGGAATTCTTTATGCTCATCATACTTATGTTGCTTTTACGGAATGATGAATCTATTCTTTGAAGTATTAGCATAATTGTGCTAATACTTCACGAAAAAGTCATTAGTACTTGGTATAATCATTAGATTTGGAATGACTATTTGATTGTCATTTTTCTTCTTGGAGTTTAGTTTTGTGCAAATTCATTTTAAGAAATTAGGTAGATTTATGGTACCTAAGGGCTGTGATTTGTCCTAACATCTTTGGTAGTTGCATCCATAATATTGAATCATATTCTCAAATTTTGCCTAATATGATGAATATTATCTTTGTGGACTATGCTTGTTTTGCTTAAATCTGTGAGTATCTTCAGGAGATCAACTGGCAATTGGGAAGGAAACTGGACGACGTTTGGGAATGGGAACAAACATGTATCCTTCATCTGCTTTGCTAGGACAGGACAAAGATGAGTCTATTGCCGCTTTACCAATTGATGAATTGATAGAAAAAGCTGATGGCTTTGCTGGTGTTTTCCCTGGTATTTATTTATTTGTTTTTTCAAAAAGATAAAGTTTTTATTTTTCTCTATTTGTTTTCATGCTCTTTGTTTACCTTTGATGTATGCTTGATGTTAAATTTATACTTGTTTCTGCCTATAGCCTAGTTTTTATTTGTCCTTGGTTACATTATTGAGTTAAATATGTTTATTGGTTCAGAACACAAATATGAGATAGTAAAGCGTTTGCAAGCTAGGAAACATATTTGTGGTATGACTGGTGATGGAGTCAATGATGCTCCTGCTCTTAAGAAGGCTGACATTGGCATAGCTGTTGCGGATGCTACTGATGCAGCTCGTAGTGCTTCTGATATTGTCCTTACTGAACCTGGCCTTAGTGTCATCATCAGTGCTGTTTTGACCAGTCGAGCTATCTTCCAGCGTATGAAAAATTACACAGTTAAGTTTTTTCTGAATGTAGTGTATGTCCTTACTTTTAACTCAAAGTTTTTATGTGAAACACACTGTTTTACTCTTGATCACTAGCTAGTTGCAGTGATATCATGTATGTCCTACATACGTTATGAGCCTAGAATGGTGTTAATTAGCACATACTTTCTACCAGTTTACTTATATTTGTCTATTCCCTTTCTCAGATATATGCAGTTTCCATTACAATCCGTATTGTGGTAAGATGTTCTTCTTTTCAGAGGGTTGTTACATCATATGGATTCATTTTCCCACTCTGGTGCTTTAGTCAATAAGATTAATTTTGGTTATTTGTTATGGTGATAGCTTGGCTTCATGCTTCTGGCACTCATATGGAAGTTTGACTTTCCTCCATTTATGGTGCTTATTATTGCTATCCTCAATGATGGTTCGTTTTCGTCTCACCTCAAATTTCAAATTGAATGTGTAAAATATTTAAAAAATTTACAAATCATGAAATAAGGTATGCTCAGTTGCTATACTTGTGATATTAGTTGATCACCTTGGGAGATCCTTTATGCCTTCCAATTGGTTAACGGTTTGTAATTCATTTTTCTTTTTCTGCTAGTCGATTATCTTGCTCTATGCTTTATTCTGTTAAACTTCCCATGACTTCACCTACCCACCTATTTAAACAATGCACTTTCAGGTACGATTATGACGATATCAAAGGATAGGGTGAAACCATCACCTCTGCCGGACAGCTGGAAGCTAGCTGAGATTTTTACAACTGGCGTTGTTCTTGGTAGTTACTTGGCAGTTATGACTGTTATTTTCTTTTGGGCAGCATACAAAACTGACTTCTTTCCGGTAAGATGATATTCCTTCTCCAAAGATGTAGTTTGTTTTAATCTTGGATGATACAGCCAGTTGCTTATTTACCATTTGAAAGCATTGTCCATCCCATTGTATGAATTTCCATCTTGTTGAAGTAAACTTCCCATCTTGGTGCCAATTGAAAGATGGGTGCCTTCATGGAGAAACCTTGTGGACATCTGATGGAACTTTCAAATGATTTACTTTCTCTATCATTTGGCAGCGAACATTTGGGGTGTCAACTCTTGAGAAAACGGCTACTAATGATTTCCGAAAGCTTGCCTCAGCTGTGTATCTGCAAGTGAGCATCATCAGTCAGGCCCTTATATTTGTAACACGATCCCGAAGTTGGTCTTTTGTTGAGCGACCTGGTTTATTGCTTGTAGTAGCTTTTGTGATTGCTCAGCTGGTGAGCCAATTTCTCTTTTCCATTTAATTGCAAATTTGAACCAATAGGTTTGGGAGAATAAGAAACACTTATAATTATATTTCGTTATGAGCAGATTGCTACTCTGATTGCCGTCTATGCAAATTGGAGCTTTGCTGCAATTGAAGGGATTGGATGGGGTTGGGCTGGTGTGATCTGGCTTTATAATATCATCTTCTACATCCCACTTGATCCAATTAATTTCATGATTCGCTATGCTCTGAGTGGGAGGGCTTGGGATCTTGTTATTGAGCAGAGGGTATGAATTTCAATGATTTGCTGAGACTTCTTTGCCTAGCTTGGATTTAATGTCTTATTGTATTTTGATTGATTTCTTTTTGATGTAGATCGCCTTTACAAGGCAAAAGGATTTTGGTAAGGAACAACGTGAGCTTCAATGGGCACATGCACAAAGAACATTGCATGGGTTGCAAGCACCTGATACCAAAATGTTCACTGAGCGAACCCATTTCAATGAACTCAATCAGATGGCCGAAGAAGCCAAAAGGAGAGCTGAAATTGCCAGGTGAGCTGCACTCTTTAAGATTGTTTTCTTTTGAGTCATGCCGTGGGAACCCGCTACTGGTTGCCTATATAGTTTTCTTTATAGATGGATATTACTTGAAGAAGATGGATCTTTAAAATATTGATGCATTCCTTTTTGGTATAATGACAAGCTCTGGTTTTCTTTCAAGACCTCTGATTGTTTTGGTTTCTCTAAGACTAATTCTTTTCTATCCTCTTGAAAAAAAATTAAATTTGTTCTCTTTTGGTGGCTTCTTTCAGATTGAGGGAACTTCATACACTGAAAGGTCATGTAGAATCAGTGGTGAGATTGAAGGGACTTGACATAGACACTATTCAGCAAGCTTACACAGTCTAAAAGAGATCATCTATTGATCTACTCATTTGTTAAGAGACGTTTAACGGTGCTGAGATTAAAGACATGCAATCCGCATGTTGTGAGTTATTCGTCAAACAGTGTTAGTTTCTGCTTCTATAGTTTCCATTTGAGCACTTTAGAGTGCCGCGGTAAGCTTTTTTTTGTTTGTTTTCCTCTCTGCTCTTTAAAATTACTCATCAGAACGTTGTGGCATTTAATGTTTATATTAGTAAAAGATTTAAGGTCAGTTCCCTTATTCCGCTGTACTATGGAAAAACTTTCTGTTTTTAGATAATTACTTCTGTTGTTGATAGTGGGCAATAAGAGCTCAGAAACTTGAAATATATTGGATTCCGCACTTCTTGCTTCTTGCTGTATGTTTGATCCATGGTTTATTTCTAGTAGAGCATGTCAAATGTTTCCAATGTTCGGCGTGTAATCTCATGATGAATAGTTTTTCCATTAAAGCAACCCACCAATGTTTTAACATTTTTAGAATTGGTCTGTTGTTAACTACTTCCAAAATTTGAAATATAAATATAACTTTTACAGAGTCGGATATAAATATAAACCCAGTCAGCATGATCACAGTGGACATATCATCTTTGAGCGTCAGTAATTTGACTGGTTACCCACCCAGAAGTTAAAACAGTTCAGGCTTGCTGAGATTCTACGTATATTGACAATTGAGAACATTATCCGTACGACTTCACTGGGAAAGCATTTAGCGATTATATAAATGCTTAAATGGTTTCATGGTCAATAAATCAATGTTGAAAAGCAGTTTACTATTAAAGCCCATAAAGAGCGTTGACTAAAAGTCTGAAGAAAAATATGCAAAAATTTCGCAGAAATTCTTCAGGGTTCTGACTTGGAGCCGGCAAAGTTGAAAAAAATATTCGTCTTTTTATTCGAGGAAATGATTATTAAGTGGAACCAGGAGTCACTAATCAGCTTCTTATGTTTCCTAAAAACTGAAAATGTAAATGTATCATACATAAGTTGCTAAGAAACCTCCATAGGCTAAGGCTGTGTGAACTCCTGCCACTATCATCTGACATCTCCATGAATGCTATCTCCTATGAACATAAACATCAAACTAAAGTTTTATCTGATTGCTTTTTCTCTCCATTGGCTTTAATGGTGTCGGAGCCAGTCTCTTTGTACTTGTACCAACTGGAGCATACTAAAAAATAGCCAAAATTCAAAATCCCGAAAGCAGCAATCACGTAATAGTAATAATCTAATCTTCCCTTGTTAAGATCTTCAGCTAACCAATCTCCAGTTGCAGCTTTTTCTGTTGTTTTGTGAACTACACCAATTAATAGACTACTCAAATAACTTGAACCTGCGATACCACAGTAGAAGAGAGACCCCGCAATGCTTCTCATGTTCTCTGGGAATTGCTTGTAATAGAATTCCACCTGTCCAACGGCCGCGAACGCTTCTGCAAGTCCAGCTAGTGCAAGCTGAGGAACCAGAAACATAGCTGACATCGATGAAATGGCACCTCTTCTCGGTTGAATCCCGAGAGTTGGCTTGGTCAGAGCTACAGTCCTCCGGTGCTCTTCAACAATGGCTGATATTATCATGGTTATCACAGATAGAGCTATGCCAATGCCCATTCTTTGAAGCAGTGTGATGCCTTCTTCTTTTCCGGTGAGTCTCCGGAGACATGGGACTACAATTCTGTCATAAATAGGTAGCCAAAGAGTCAGGGACAGCATGAAGAAGACGACGTAAGTTGCTGCTGGAATCTTAAAGTTGGTGTTTCCAAGACGTCTATCACTTTGCTGGGCTTGGAAAACTACATAAGTTTGTTGTTGAACAATGGCAACATGGTACACAAGAGCTGCAGCCCATATTGGAAGCACTCTGAAAATGCATTTCACTTCTTCCACTTGCTGCATACAGCACAGTTTCCAAGGATTCGCCGGCGAACCGTCGGGGTTTATTTTGTCTTCAGGGGTTACTATTGCTGCTTTGTCTAGAAATCTGATAACACAAAATTAGTTGTTAATTTGATTAGTTCCCGTGATAAGATTTCGAATGAGACTACCAAATGAGATGTTGGTTACCTGAATTGATGTGAATAAGGGAGCTTGGAGTTGATAGAAGTAGGAGGAATATAATTAAAAAGAGAGAGCCAAGGATGGTCTGGTTGTTTTAGTCGCCTTTTCTTGATTGCAACCGCTATAACCTGGGCTACACTAGTCATTGGACTACCGGTGGCTTTCACTTTGACATATATTTTTGAACCCATGAAGAAGAGAACGCATGCTATAAACATTAGAAGTGCTGGAATTGCTAAACCGATAGCCCAACTCACATTGGATTGCACATACACAATTAAGGTCAAGGATACCATCTGGGCAAAAGTGTAGGTGAAGAAGTACCAATTGAAGAAGCTATTGATACCTTTCTTTCCTGATTCTGTTTCAGGATTGAATTGATCCGCGCCAAATGCCAAGTTACATGGCCGGACACCACCGGCCCCTATTATCATTAGTCCAAACCCGCACAACAGAAATGCCATTTGCCCTACTGTTGGCCCTTCGCATGTCGCACTCTCTGCTGCACAGTGATGAGGATGCAATTTGTGGATTGCCGCGGTTAATTGAATTGTTTGCAGCCCCTTCACAAAAAAGAAAAAGAACAATAAGAGATGTAGGAATTAGATTCACATCATGTTGAACTGCATGCAGAAGAATTTTGATTCTTAGTAAAGGTGCAAATTACACACTGGTGTGTTGGGGAGATGATTACTATGTCAAATTTTACAATATTTTTATGGTTTAGTTGAATTATTGACCGGGTCTGTTTCGGAGTTTTGTCTGGCTCTGTCACTTCTGTGTTTTTCAAATAATATATATATATATATATATATCAGATCTAAGTTCAACGAAATTTCAAGATTCTGTCATGTTCATCACTTTGAGGGTCCTGACTATAAATAAATTCATTATTGAAACTCACTAAACAGCAAAAGAAGTACCAAGAAAGAAGTGATTGTAGCGAATCCCAACGTCTTATAGCGACCGAAGTAAGTATCACAAAGATAAGCTCCAAGCATAGTGCCAAAGTTTGTGGTGCCATTGAAGATATTGATAATTGTTGCAGCAGTTATGCTCTTCATGTTGAAGACAGAAGTTAGATAGATCAACAGATTGGCCAGTGTGCCAATAGCTCCCAGCTTCTCAAAAGTTTCATTACCTGCAATATCATGGAAATTTGTCACTCAAAATGAACAACCAAAAAAAAGAAAAAAGTAGGAAGCGAGTAAGCAAACAAGCATGCAACTCCCTTAAGTTCACCTATGATGAAAGGCATGGCTTTCCATCCTCTGTAGTTAATCTCAGGTTCTTTTTTACTAACTGCTTTCATATCCAGCTCCAGGGTTCCATTGATCTCAGTCTTTTCTATAGCTAACCCTCCATTCTCAGTTTTATCCATAACTACTTCTCTCTCATTCTTCTCAGACGTTCCATTCTCATAATTCTTACTCGCCATATCTCCCTCACTCTTCTCCATGTTTTCTCTCTCACTTCTTCTCCCTCATACGCACGTTAATATAACCACTGGCCCCTATAACAGTACATTTGGACCAAAAAAAAATCAACACGGTTTAGAATTAGCAGAAGAATTTCAGGTCATGCCTAACTACACATGTTCACATTCATGTTGCTTTCCTCCACCTATGAAACGCACATTAATCACTCACTGATCTCTTTTTGTCCAATTATTGGAAGGGGTTACTGTTCTTTGGTGGACCATCATTACCCACGTCATCCCTGACCTCAAGTCCACCGATTGCAAATGCTCCAGTGGGTGGTTGAAAATGAAATTGTTAATGACTTAAATAAGAAACAAATTTATCCATGTAAATCAAAGAAAACAAACGAAAAAGTTAAAATGAGATTCCCTTTCTCTCAGACTGGTGGCCTGCACTATCATTGATATATACATTACTCTATAGTCATATTGCGTTGTTTCAATCTGTTTGCCTGATCTTTAGTTCATATCTGGAAAGTCGTTTCAATTTGATTTCTTTCATGTAGCAGCATATCTACTAGTCAATCTGCATAAATTTTGGTTGTTCTTTTTTCAACATTTTTACACTCAACCACTTCTATGAAATTGACAAACCTAATGAAGTGTTTTTCCCCTCTTGAGCTTTCTCCATATATGGCTTTAGCTCTAAAGTTTGGAGATGGCACGTTTTCTTCTAACTCTAACAGCAGTTTACCAACTTAGTTAGAATAAAAGGATATATTCTGGAAGATCTAATAATAAATGGTAATAAGTTGATCAAAAGGATTCTGAAAAATGTTTCCAATATTTCACTATTCAGAACCAAATAAAAAAAGAATGGTAGGTTTGGCAAAATTCATTGGTGACCCCCACCATTGGGTGAGTGGACTTGCCAGAAGACTCCTTACGTAAAAAACGTCATCGTGATTGCTACTGAACGGTGCTGACTAAACTGTCCGGTTGCTCTTGCTCTTAATCAAAACCAAATTTTTTTCCACTCTATTTATGATTTATTTCTAATAATTAATTACTACACATGACGTACACCTCAAAATGGTAACCAAAAGGTTTGAAAATGATACATACCCACTTTCCCTCATGTTTGACTAGGAATTTTCATCTTAAAATGGTACCCAAAAGGTTTAAAAATGACAAACACCCACTTTCCCTCATGTTCTGTTAGGAATTTTCATCTACTAAAAGATAAAAATAGTAAAAAGACTGAAATACCCTTAACATCTTCTTCTTCTCAACGTCACACATTAGCAACCTCTGCTACCAACGTTTTGGCCACTTTTCTAGCCATTTTCCACCCAAAACCTCCTCCATCCACCCTTTTGGCCCTCCCTCACTGAACCCACCTAATCTCGACATCGATGCACCCATTAATCGCGAAAATGAGGCAACTGTTATTCCTTGCAACTACCCATATTTGAGGCTGGATTCTGGTCGATATTCACACCAGAAATCCACCATTCGAATCCCCACCATTCCCTCTTCGAAACCCAACCTCCCATCGCTCCTCCCCACTTGCCGTTTGTTGTCTAGTACTCAGTGTTTGCCCGCCCTCCAATTGTTTGTGAAAATTTCCCAACCAACCCAACAGACTACCACTCCTTTGTTGAGGATCTTGGGCTCTTTTGGAGTTTGTTATTGAAAATATTGTTATTGAAGTGTTGTTTGTTTGTGTGGGTTGTGTTTTTCGGTCACCGTCACTCCTCAAGTTCCCATCTTCGACATTTTCCAGCACGCACACAACATGCTCGACAAAAGGTTGCAGTCACGGATCTATTCCCAACGCGCGCTAGCAAGAGCTAGTGCCACTGTTTATCACCAAACTTCACAGAAAATGCTAAATCCGGTCAAAAAATCGATCGATGACACAAGAGGGCTGTGCAAACGGGCTTGGTGAGAATGGATACGGAGAAAAATATTTAAAATTAAAAATTTTGTGGTTGTAGATGAAATTATTATACTGTCTTTTAGCACAGAAATCCCTAACAGAATATGACAGAAAGTATTTGTTTATTATTTCCAAACCTTTTGGGTATCAATTTGTCTTTATGTCAAACTTTGGGTAGGTGGAAGTCGTTCGGCCATCTAAAGTACTTACAAAAGATTTCCCAAATAAACTTATTAAAGAAATTCAAATCTCAAATCCTTACAAAGAAAACACAATTCTAACTGAAAACTAAAAAATGGAATTTATTCGTTCTCCTCAAGAAGTTATTATTCACTCCCAAATCTCCAATTCTGAAACTGCTTTGCAAAAATATTAACATCACAAAGTACCCCTGGTGACCCGGCCAATCATTTTAGGGAGAACGACTTACACGTACCCAAGGTTTGTCGTAACGACAAGTTGGTACCCAAAAGGTTTTGAAACGACAAATAGGTACCTTCCGTCATGTTCTGTTAGTGGTTTCTGTTTATTACTGTTTATTAATAGTAAAAAGACTAAAATGCCCTTAAAGGTTTGAATTTTAGTTTTTTATAAATTTCTAAAAAACCCCCTAAGTTTACAAATTTAACTAAATACCCCAATGTATAAAAATTTTGTAAAATAACAAAAACACCCCCGCCACCTGCAGTGCCAGATTCCGGCCACCACCGCCGGAATCTGGACGGAAAGTTGCGTTACGACACAGACCCGTCGGATCTGTGTCGTTACGCGTCGATCTGGCCTTTTCCGGCCAGATCCGTGGCTGATCTGGCCGGAAAAGGCCAGATCTACGGCTAGATCTGGCCGTCGACGTCGCAAAACTCCATCCCGGAAAAGGCCAGATCTGGCTGTTGCTTCGACGGCCAGATCTTGCCTTTTCCGGCCAGATCCGTGGCGGATCTGACCGGAAAAGGTCAGATCGGCACGTTACGACACAGACCCGATGTAGTTTTCCGGCCAGATTCCGACGATGGTGGCCGGAATCTGGCACTGGGGGTGTTTTTGTTATTTAACAAACTTTTTATATATGGGGGTGTTTAATTAAATTAGAAAACTTAGGGGGTTTTTTAGAAATTTTTAAATTTATAAAAAACTAAAATTGAAACTTTGAAGGGTATTTTAGTCTTTTCACTATTAATAAACAGAAATCAGTAACAGAATATGACGGAAGGTACCTATTTATCGTTTCAAAACTTTTTAGGTATCAACTTGTCGTTACGGTAAATCTTGGGTATGCACAAGTCGTTCGGCCATCATTTTATTACACTTTGTGCACATAATAACGTATCAATCATGACCATGGACTTGAGGCAAAACATTTTCTCAATCGACATTCCTTTGTAAAAGTCATTTATTTTAATTTTTATTTAAATAAAATGATTGAAAATTAAAGACTTGGGATTTTTTAGAAAAAAGGATATTTCTAAAAATTAACTCACAATAGATCTTTCGAAGTTAGAAACAATTTCGGGCGCGTTTGGCTAGGTATTTTTATTCATATTTTGGACCGGATTTTACAGATAGTATTTGTTTTATTATTTACAGAATCATGTCCCTATAATTTAATCCTGACAACTATCCTAACAAATTTTTTTTTTACCGTTATAGTTTGTTTTTTTCACTGCATCTTTACTGCTTCACCATTTCACTTTCTCATATCCATCACCAGCTTTGTGCTTCACTTCTCAATTGGCATTACCGTTTTCAGTGCTTCACTTTCTTAGTATCCATCACCACCATTTCGGTTTCTGATAATCAATTACCAGGTTCAGTGCTTCACTTCCCAGTTTGCATTACCACCATGTCACTTTCTAGTATCCAGTACCAGCTTCAGTGCTTCACTTCCCAGTTTGCATTACCACCATGTCACTTTCTAGTATCCAGTACCAGCTTTAGTGCTTCACTTCTCACCGTGAACCCGCAATGCCCTCTGTCACAAACCCACATCCTAACCCAACGTGAACCCACCATGAACCCACAAATCCCTCTGTCACAAACCCATCGTGAACCCACCTCAGATCCCGAACCGTGAACCCACCGTGACCCGATCTGATCCTCACAACACCATCGTGACCCAATCTATCGCAAACCTATCCACCGTGACCCGATCTGTCGCAAATCCACCCACCCTGACCCGATCTGATCCTTAGAACCCCACCGTGACCCGATCTGTCATAAATGCACCCACGGTGACCCGATCTATTGCAAACACACCCACCGTTACCCGATCTGTCGTAAACCCACACCCCGAGCACACACAACCCCACCGTGACCGTGACCCGATCTACCGCAAACCAACCCACCCCGATCACACTGTCACCGTCACCCAATCTATCGCATACCAACCCACCCCGATCACACACAAACCCACTGTCATTGTGACCCGATCTGCTGCAAACCCACACCCCGATCTGGATCAAACCCACCTTAGATCTGTGTACAAGGGGATGCTGTTTTGCGTTTTTTCTTTGTTTGGCATGAATGGATTGTGAATGCGCATGGATGGGTTTTTGTTTTAATTGGGTTTTTATTTTTTTCGGCAATTGGCATAAAATTATTTTAATTGGGTTTTTGTTTCAATTGGGTTTTTATTTTAACAAAATGCAATAAAATATTATATTAATAAATCATTTATAAAAATATATATTACTCAAATATTCAACACAAATATCATAACCCTATCTAACTATCTAATACTATCCCCAAAATCCTATTCAAAATAATAAATCAAACGCACCCTTCAATTTTCCAAAAGAAGTTTAAAAGCCTCACCCACACGTGCAACACTAAACTACAATAAAAAAAATTCATTTAAGCTGAATAAAATAAACAATCCAGAACCTTAAACTCCATAAAAAACCAAAATATAACTTTCAATAAAAACAGTCACTAATTACACATTATATATATATAATATAATATATATATATATATATATAACGCATACTTTTGTTTTTGCAAAAATAAACGACACTTAATATACAAAGATTACCATATCTCTATTAAAAAAACAAAATTTAATATGAGTACTGTACATACAGTCAAACTTTAGAACTCAATGCTCAATCAAATAAAATGTGTCACATTTCATATTTAAAAAAAAAATATATCAAACGAACAAAGGACAATACAAAAAAAATTCACGGCGTTACGAGGTATACCAAAATTTTTTATTAATAAATTTATCACATTATTTTATGATTCACATCATGATTTAGAAGAATATCATATA